CCCCATTATGCCAATGCTGAAAAAGGCCAGGTCGACAAATACTCCAAGATTTTTGGATTATTTGGTAACCTGGCAATCAGAGTTTGTCAGGGTCCCTCCATGTGCACCAGAACCTTTAAACACGGGGACCCTGGGTACGAAGTTGATGTTATGTTTGTCCGATCAGGATTGCCAACAACTTCACTGCAATATTTTATGTCCAACAATATCTTTATTTCTTCCCTGTCACTTTTGGTAGCTGTCGCAGTCATGGCTATGATAGGTACATTTGAGAATGTAGCACATAACACTGCCAAATTGCTGTAGTCAACTCGGAAATCTTTACCCCCGTAATGACAATACAAATATTAAATTATCGAAACTTGTTTGAAATTAAGAATTGTATATATGTGAGATTCACCCACCCTCACACAGGAACAACATTTAATTGGAGTCACATGACCAGCCGATGCCAGGGTCTTTCCCAAAGAAAGTTCCTGGGTACGAGGTTGTACTATAGGGTCTATATAGAATATCAGTCAGATTTGGTTCCAACTTCCAAGTCATGTCATGTACACAAATAAAAACTTGTCAAATTCATTAACATTGCTCGAAAAAGATAACTGTAACCAGGGACGCCGGAACGATAATAAAGCAAAGGGGGGCGGATGCACACCAAGGTCACCTCTATAGAGCAAAACTTCAAAATCTACCCCCCCCCTAGCAAAAGGCAAAACTATACTATAACTATAGTATAAACTATAAATTGTCTGAATCTCATGATTTTCCTACAAAAAACATCGTTGGAAATGTGATTTACACATAGTATTTTACAACTAAAAGGGCACTTCTGCCCCCCCTGCCCCCCTAGCAAAAGGCAAGGGGGGCAGCCCCCCTGCCCCCCCAGTTCCGGTGTCCCGGACTGTAACTGTGATACATATCTTCTCGACCGAGTAGATACAAAGACATTTAATATTGTTAAAGCTGTTTTCATTTGTCACTTCCTATATGTGTATATTTAATAGATGGTTGTTCTTGCACATACTCTAACTATAAGAATTGATATGTTAGATAGTACATAATTATCAATTAATGTTCATAAAGAACGTCGAGTGTCCACAAAAAAGTTATTTATATTTCTCATAATTTTCGTTTTCTTATAGTAACACTAATATTCGCTTCTAATAATTTGAATGCAAACATTGTTAACAAGTGTATCATCATTTTCCTTATTATAACTTAAACCAGCATCTATATCCATAATTCTTATTAATCGAAAGTCATGCAAGTTGAATGATTCAGATCCGAACACATTAATTAATAATTCATGACCAAAGAAATAAAATCAATCCTTGACAGAACGGCACATAGTTTTGTTAATTGAAAAAACTAACTGGGAAAATCAATTTTGCATAATTCAAGATCAGTAAACTCGATGTTTTTAACAATAAAAATGTTAAAAACATTAAGTTTGCTGATCTTGAATTATGCTTAATTGATATTCCTAGTTAGTTTTTTCAATTAATGTAAAAGGAGTGAAATGCACCTTAAAAACCATCATTCAAAAGGCTGAACTGTGCCTTTAAAGTGTTTATGAAACGAAATTTTCGGGTCCCTTTTTTTCGGGACTTTCACAAACCTCCCTCGGTTTGCGGGAGATTTAATCACTATATTCTTAAAAACCATGGTATTACTTATAATTAGACTGCATTAGCATGCATTAGACTGCATTAGCACGCATTAGACTGCATTAGGGTGCATTAGCATGCATTAGACAGCATTACACTGCGTTAGACTGCATTAGGATGCATTAGACTGCATTAGGGTGCATTAGACTGCATCAGGGTGCATTAGACTGCATTAGACTGCATTAGGGTGCATCATGGTACATTAGACTGCATTAGACTGCATTTGACTGCATTACCCTGCATTAGACTGCATTAGCATGCATTAGACTGCATTACCCTGCATTAGACTGCATGAGCATGCATTAGACTGCATGAGCATGCATTAGACTGCTTTAGCATGCATCAGACTGCATTAGACTGCTTTAGCATGCATTAGACTGCATTAGACTGCATCAGGCTGCATTACCATGCATTACCCTGCATTAGAATGCATTAGACTGCATTACCCTGCATTAGACTGCTAGATTTTGCAAAGGATGACCCGGTATTTTTCGATTTATTATATAAAGGACAGTCTTTGAAAAGTGTTAATATGGACAGAAAAGTAAAACAGTAATTGAAAAGTGATAATTTTCACATGTGAGAGAATAAGTTTTATCAGCGCTTTAAATCTGCAGATAGCCCGTTGTCCCCTAGGCGATTTTTTTTGCGCGACGCGAAGCGAAAAACAAATCTTGGCAATGTGATTGGTAAGCGAATAAATTCGCGAATCAGTTGGATCAGTTCTGTTCGCACAAACAAATTCGCCTAGTGGAGAACGGGCTTAAAGCACTATACTTTTATTACTTTATATAATAAAAGGTAATCGAACTTTAGCGTGCTATTGTGTCTGAATTAGTATGCGTATGGCCGAGATTTGTTTTCATATTTGGAAAGATCAGGCTTTTAGCTGTTGAATGATATATTGTACATGCTGAATGGATAAAAAATCAGCAAATACGATTCAGATAAAAAATGTTAGTATTAATCGCATATTTTCACAGTCGAGAGTTGGGTCTAAAACCATCGATAATTAACCCTTGGGACTTAAGTTGATGAATTTCACGTAAATAAACTACGCACATATTCATAATTATTATCAAGTAGGCCTATAGGAAAAGAAAATATAGAGAACTTTGAGCAAAGATGGAAACATGTGCTGGATTCACCTGAATATGAGAAAACAAAAAACGAAATAAATAAAATTGAAATACATGTTCGCAAAGGATGCCTTTCGGATATTAATCCAGGAGAAGGAACTTCTATGAATGAATGGATCGTCAACAATCGGTCCTGAACTGGCAACTGCTGTCTTTTCTACACAATAAACAGCAAACGAAAACGATATCACCATGACAAAAATACCAGGATGCACATATCTATTCCAATTAAATCCGTGCTGCAATGCGGCAAGGAACCGGCTGTCAGTTCAAAAAGTAATTTGGACAAAACCAATTCTGATCAAGATATATTGGTAAATCAAGAAACCTAAACTGAGTCCCAAACGAAGCCTGTGGAATCACCTTTACTGCTGGTTGGTGACTCAGTTGACGATTTTTGCCAAGTAGATGTTGCCGAAACCATACTTAAACATTCAAATTAAATGCTCAATGTACTGGAGCGAATAAACACTGCGAACCAAAACCGTTTATTTAATGTGTTTGATACTCCATTGCTGCAACTAATAAAAAGGACTGAATAACATAATATACACAGAAAAAATTGGTCAACAGCTTGTAGATGATATAGTTAAGCAAAATACGTTAGTCAGAAACCTATCAGGCTTGGGACTAGAAGTAGAGTACCCTATTTTTGTAGCTTATTCGAGTAGCGGACTTGGTCACTATAATTTAACGAAGCCATGACGTTATGTTAGCTGTGAAGGTATGTTATGACAATGTGATTTTCAAAGCATACTAACAATATTTCGTATACTTCCTTAGGAAGTGTGATTGTGGTACTATAGGGGAGAGGTTTTTCAATTTTACTGTCAGCATGCATTCATACAATTTTTCATCGCACAGCCCATCCTTCCTTCTGCTATATATAATACAGGAAATCGTAATATTTTAATTTATGTAATGGGTTAGAATATTTTCATTTGGTTTATGTTTAACTAATATTCCATTCAAGATATGTGGGAACTTTGTGGAATATATAGATGTTTCCTATCTTCCACCATATGATAATAATCAACAATCTAAAATAGTTGAATTGTTTTTAGACTCATCAAAGAAAAATCCAAACCGGGGTTTAACACGTTGCACCTGTAGCAAAAATAGCAAGCGGGAACAGGCCGAAATGGTTCATTGCGTACGAAATGAATCGTCATGTTGTTCGTGTGCTGTTAATGGAGATGTGTGTTCCAGAGAATGCAAATGCAAAGGCTGCCAAAACAAAGAGAAAATAACCACCGTCCAATCAACTTCGAATATTATAAGTTGCTCTTGTGGTAAAGGAAAAAAGAAATCTGATCCCCTTTTCAAATCCTGTACGGATGGTGTAAGGAAGTCCAAATGTAGGTGCCTTATGAATGGTTGGAAATGTACGAGTGCATGCGAGTGTTACAACTGCCATAATCAAACAACAGAGCTTCCAGCACCAACGCAGAATGATGAAACGAAAAGTGGAAAACGAAAAAGGGTAAATCCGTCGCCGTACAAAAGAGCGAAAAGCAAAGAATATCTAAAAAAGGAAATGGGACACGAACCATTGCAAGGATCTTGGACACACTTAGAAACGTTCATTCTAGAAAGTATTTTGTCTTTGCTTTCGACATTACCTTCTATTCTTCAATTTGGAAGCATTGTGCACCTGGTAGCTTTGTTGCAGTTCTGTACAATTTTACAAGGAAATTATTTCGTTTGTATAATTTTATTTACTATTATCGAAATGAACGATGTAGATTTTGAAAAGGTTAGATCGTTATTTGAAAGTGGCGATAAGGAATGCTTACTGGTGTTCTGTGGAGAATATTTCAAGCAGATAAATTCGATGGATGCAAGAAAATTGTCTTGGCCGAAACTATCTAGCTGAGATGTGTTGATTTCTCGAATTCTCGTCGTCTATTTCAGGAGATTATAAAGAGGTGTATGGCAATAAGGTAAAGTGGTTTGAATTTTGAACAATAAATCGTTGAATTGAACGTACGATTTGCATAATTATGTGAGGTTAGGTCCAAAGTTTTATATACTGCATACATATTCATTATGTGTATCAAATTAAAACACCTGAAGTGGCAGAAATTTGATCTCAAATATTTGATCATGTTGGATAAAAAATATTTATTGTGTAAATGCATTATAGAGTATTGATTGACTGATAATAGCTCTGCAAATGTACTTTATAAAGATAATAATAATATAATCTTTGGTTATATTTTTAGATCTGATGCAACTGGCAATTGCTTGTATAGCTCTGTTTCCTAAGCATTGACAATGACCTAATTTGACCTTGAGAGTTTAAATGTTTACAGTGCAAGTGTGAAAGGTCTATTTCAGCACTTATAGGACACTAAAAGGCTATAAGCGAAGCACTATGGTTGAAGACTACTTAAATTAAATGACTTGGCTTGGTCATGATGCAAGTTCACCAGGAAATTATTCCTAACATATGTACTGTAGGAAACATATTATTGATAAATTTTCTGGAACATGTTGTTAAAGTTAAATATCTCAGCTTGCAAAAAGACCACTCTCGCCTCCAATAGCAATTAATAACCTCACTCTTGTACACAACACTGACAGAAAAAACTTCCTGGGGTTTGGTTCTTCATCATCAACCAAACTTAGCCTTTCAAGATCACCACCTTCCCAAATCCCCCCCCCCCCAAACATTATTCAGGCTTTGTAGACAAAAGCTGATGCCAAATATCGGGTCTGATCTCATTGGCTTGAGACAGGTCCATTGCATCTTGAACCAGTTAAATTTTTCAACAGACCAGGGCTTGAAATAACAACTGATCACCAATCAATAATAGGCAGGAAATTGCTTATGATTGGCGGAAAAGCATGGTTTGCAACCTGAAAAAGCAGGGAAAGTCATGACTGCCGATCACCATGATCGGGAACTTTGGGAACATTATTTCAGGCCCTGACAGACAAACTCCATGTTGATAGTATGTGACTGTCTAGTGAGTGTATAATACAGTATGTATAAGCGTAGTATCGGAATAATACAATACTGTGTTAAAAACCTTGCCAATTTAATATTTCAGATAACTAGATAAGTAAAGTAATAGTCATTTGTAATGAAATATTTTGTATTTGAATCGACTGTGATTAAAATATGTTTAAAATGCCAGGTAAAATAAACTTGTTTTCAATAAAAGTTGGCTTCCACTGAAGCTACAGCTTTGAGGCACCATTTCACTTGCGATATTATACATTTTCATAGCTGGACAGATATATAACAAGATGATGAATTTAATTAGATTAGACATAGCTAGGTTAGTAATAGGACTGGGGAAGGGACTAAAGGGAAAAACAAGGCAATTTCACATCCATGAAATGTCCCGTATTGTCATCCATTTTTAACCAAGCTCCTTTTGCTGCGGTGAAAGGTGTGAGGTGGGTTTATGGCACCTTAAAACCAGATTGCTCATTTTAGGTGGTATTCATTGTTCATTTTATTGTCACCCATTTCTAAGTTCTAGCCAAACTCCTTTTGCTCTTGCAAAAGGTGTGAAGGCAAGCAATCTGGTTTTAAGGAGCCAGAAACCTGTGCTTGTGTTCAGCTTTTTCAAGAAGCTGTCCTTGTTGGATCACGGTTTACTATTTTTGGTAAACGTGTTTCCTATAGGCATGCTGATGAACCAAGGTATACACTGTAGGGCGAAACAGTCTATATATTAATATATTATATGCTGAACATTGGCAGGTACGAAAATTATGTCATTTACGCATTTGTAGTTTGATAAAACAAAATATCTATACTTCCACAAAAATTGGACTATCATCCTGACATCAAATGACGTCATGTCAAATGACGTCATCACGTTTTGCGTCATCGATGACGTCATAAAATTTTGACTAACGTGCGAAAAATCCTAGATCCGCCCCTGAACATAGATATATACATATAGTGTCCCTCCTTCTCGCCATTTTTGGGACCTTATAATAGGCATACATAAAGTACTTTGCAAAATAGTATATAATAGGCATACATAAAGTAATTGCAAAACGTATTAAATATTAAGACCTTTTCTGAAAAATTGAGGGTGGAAAAGGTCTGAAAAAGTATTTGTAACACCCAATTATCTCAAAATAGTGTTTCAGAAAACTTTTTGAGAAGTTTTTCTTCAAAAAAATGTTGACCTTGTCAACATTTTTTGAAAAAATTTAACTTTTCTGAAATTTTTTTAAGGGTGGAAGGCTCCAAAATGAAAGAGGCCCAAAGTTTTGAACTCACGCCCCCCCCAAACCAGATACGCCTCGGCATGGCAATGGATAAATTAATTAATTAAACAAAATTTCTATATGATAGTGAATTACTGCTCCATAATATATTTTACATTCTTCAGCTGATTGAAAGAAATCTTTTGACATTATTTAAGCCCAGGTTGCATAACTTTTTAGTTGTCAAGTGCTGCAAGTGACAATGAAGTTTCTGCCATCATGAATAATGAATCTAACCTTGATATTCTTGAGACAGTTGGCTTCACCAGCATTGCTCAGAGAGAAACATGCCAGACTGTTGGTGCCATAATTTAGCGAGTCTAACTTAAGAGCGTGTGTCTCTAAAAACTGCCCACTGACTTGGGGCTCGAAAAATGAATTTCTTCGAATCTTTTACCGTGAACTACATTTACTTTAACAACAAACAAATGCTGTTTGGAATTTTCAAAATATATTTAGTTTCAAAGTTTTAGCGATTTTTTGGTCTCGTACCGTCGCGTGAGAAATTTGCCCGCTAATTAAATGAAAAAATGGGCTGAATTTAAATAAACATAATTTCAAACGTTTTCGTTCAAAATTTCTGATATTCACACCCAGCACCGGTAAACTATCGTAATTTCATCTAAACTAACTAAGGTTTTCAATTACAGAGCATTTGTGACAATATTTAGTAACAAAGAACGCCATGTCAAAATACGGCTTTCAAATCCTACTATTTTCTACGCAGAATTTCTTAAAAGTGGGACCTAATTAGATACAGTGACTAGTATAATTGGAAAAAGGACACTTTGAAGTACTAAAAACCGTAATAAAACTCGTCTGCAAATGCGATTTGAACAATTGAAAGCGTTTGAAATTTGATACTCTTTAAGGCCTTTTGTTTACATTAGAATATCGCTGAGGTCAGACGTCTGAGTTCGTGTCACTGCTAAAAATGCGCTGTAGTTCTGCCAAATAACCTTTTCCTCAAATAAGTTTATAGCACTATTGTACTAATCTATACTTCTTTGTTAATGTCCACCGTAAGTGGTCCAAAGGGATTTAAAATAATAGGCATGTTAAAATAAACAACTTGACCAAATTAATATGCTACCCGGGGAAAAGCCCGCATGCAGCGCAAATTCTATATGTGGCACATGCTATATTTAGAGTTTGCGTTACAGCATACTAAACTATTGCTTAGTTCGAAAAGTCTATAAATTATAAAGTTCAGTTCTGGAACCTTTCTGGGAAGTTGATCTTTGAATTATATTGCTGCAAAATTGTGTTCTTTTAATGCTATCGGTTCAACTGTATGCGGAGGGTGTCGGGGTGAATCGGGTATTAGACGCTTAGAAGATTGTGATGAGAACATTCAAAACCATCTTTCAAGTTGCCGTTTGTCGAGATCTGGTTTTAGCGAGCGCGAGCTGAATTTGAGAAGAGCGGGATTTGTACATGAGATATCAAGAGAAGAAACAAGCTCTATGACAGTATGCCCAAACCACCGGTACAACTTGGGCCGATACTGGAGACCTCGTCTAACATGCCAACATCCTTCTCACACTGCGCCTGCACGTCGCTGCAAAGGAAAATATGTCATTAACCTGGAAGTATCACGGGATGTATTCCAAATTTATGGAGTACTTGCGCAAGTTGGTTCTCGTAAGTGATAAATATAGTCCAAATTAGAGATATATAATCGCATTGTTAATTTGCGTGGAAGTGAGGTTGAGGGGCCAAAGCAAACACGTATTGGCATACGCCAGAGGGCATACGCTTTGGCCCCTCAGCCTCACTTCCATGCAGTTGTGACGTAATTACCGGAAAGGTAATAGTTTAATACGAAACAAAAGCTTTTGTTGGGTTTTCCCCGGGTGACATTTTTTGCAAGTGTTTTTGTTGGGTTTTCCCCGGGCGACATTTTTTGCAAGTGTTTACCGTGATTCAATTTTATATGTTTAATATCATCTATTTAAATATCTTGCAAGATAAATAACGAAATCTAATTTAGTACTATGACATTATCGATTTGTTTTGAGAGAATGGCAATGAGAAAATATTATTTGGCAGAACTACAGCGCATTTTTAGCAGTGACACGAACTCAGACGTCCGACCTCAGCGACATTCTGATGTAAACAAAAGGCCATAAATAGTATCAAATTTCAAACCCTCTCAGTTGTTCAAATCGCGTTTGCAGACGAGTTTTATTACGGTTTTTAGTACTTCAAAGTGTCCTCTTTCTAACTATACCAGTCACTGTATGTAATTAGGTCCCACTTTTAAGAAATTCAGCGTAGAAAATAGTAGGATTTGAAAACCGTATTTTGACATGGCACTCTTTGTCACTAAATATTGTCACAAATGCTCTGCAACTGAAAACCTAAGTTAGTTTAGATGAAATTACGATAGTTTTCCACTGCTGGGTGTGAATATCAGAAATTTTGAACCAAAACTTTTGAAATTATGTTTATTTAAATTCAGCCAGTTTTTTCGTTTAATTAGCCAGCGAATTTCTCCCGCGACGGTGCGAGACCAAAAAGTCGCTAAAACTTTGAAACTAAATATATTTTGAAAATTCCAAACAGCATTTGTTTGTTGTTAAAGTAAATGTAGTTCACGGTAAAAGATTCGAAGAAATTTATTTTTCAAGCCCCAAGTCAGTGGGCGGTTTTTAGAGACACACGCTCTTAAGTGTTAAAGGTGGCTCCCCACAATTGCTAAAAATATGGAAAATCAGTTAATTAGATCAAATTTTTAGTTTGAATTTTCTTGTTGTTATTAATTAATTAAAACTATCTGTATTGGGCCTTATTTTAAAAAAGAATGTTTATTATTATATTAATCTTTCAAAAATTTGGCTTTACAGAATTTGTTTAAAACTCGGTCAGATAGTCCACTGTGCTACAGAAAAATATATCAGCCATATTCTCATTGTTGCCATAGCAATAAATAGTAATGATTTTTGTACAAGGTGTACATTTTTTGTTTTCCAACAAGTAACATTTCTTCAAAGAGTTTGATCTAATTTTTTAATTTTCCATATACATGTAGCCTGATGTAGGGTGCCACCCACAAGTACTTGCAAATCTACTACACAGCCAGAAATGCACAAGTCAGAATAGATCTGCAACAGGTCTGTTAAATCCTGTTGTCAACAAGCACATATCTGGAGGTATGTAACGGCTTGTCAACAGGTCTGTTACAAGCTGTTGTCAGAGCTGCAGCAATGCTGTTTTCAACAGGTCTGTTACAAGCTGTTGTGACAGAGCTGCAGCAATGCTGTCGTCAACAACATGCAACAGACCTGTTGGGGACCGGCCGCAACAGGCCATTGTCATGTTGCGACAAGTCTGTTGAAACATGTGTTATTCTCACGTGTCACAAGTTATCCTTGCGTGTTTTAACGTATCCCACGTGGAACATGCGGTATACTTGTGTGTTGATCATGCTTTGCTTTCCGGTTCGAACTTCGAAATCAAAATAAACTCATAAAACATGGAATTTTTTGTTGAAAATATTTCAACAAGTTCAATATATTGAAATGAAACTAATAGCGAGAGATTAACAGAATTTTTATACTATCTATACCAACATTGAACAGGTATATACAGTACGGCCCTAATGAAAGTTAACCATTCTCGCTCGATGCTATTGAGGAAAATGTTTTGAGTATCGAGATCTCGAAACCCACTCGATAAAAATTCTCGCTCGCTCGATAGGCTTCTCGAAATGCGCTTCGCGTTACTCGATACACAATAATTTTTCGAGAAGCGAGAAATCTCAATGCAAACATTCACAAGAATTCTTGCAACGAGAAATCTCAATGCATCCATTCACGAGAATTCTCTTAGCCCTATACTGTGTGTAAAATTTACGCCAGATTACAAAATTTATAATATGGCTTCTTTCACGAATAAAAAATGATAAAAAGAGTTGTAGGTTTTCTTACCAATTGCACATTTGCACAAAGCTCACCATTTGTCTCCATCTTGCCATTGATAAAGTCGAGATGTTACGTTCAGAATCTAATTTCGGTTGTAGGCCAATATTGTTTTTATTTTGCATAGCCGTTTCTGTTTCATCTTATCGCCGTATATATTTTGCAACCGTCTGTCGCGTGGTCACAATGTCTTCTTTCTTTAAAATCTCGACTATTTCTGATCAATTATTTTGTATTTCTTTTGTTGAAGCAAAGAGTTAATTCTCTCTTGCGTAGCTTGAAAGCCGTCGCATGTCTGGTTTGATGTACTATAGTGAGACACTGGCGGGGAGAATTTCTGTCTTTGTCTTGCGACAGTCGGTACTATATGTAGAGGTATGCAAATTACATAGTCTGTAGCACGCGCATGTAAATTTTGCTTGAAGCAGACAGGCTATTGTATCCCGTTCCGGTGTCCCAGCAGATTTGGACCCCCCTCAAAATGGACCCCCCGGTCCAAATCCTCTAGCGAATATGGACCGGGGAGTCCATATCTACTAGCGAATATGGACCTATGGGGGTCTTTACTTGTTAGCGGATTTGGACTCCTCTCGCGAATTTTATCATTGCAACGTATCGTATTTTGAATATTGTACTGAAAGCGTTTTAAATCGTCATAAATCTCATCTGATTTATTTTAAAAACCGTACGAAGATTTTTAGATTATCAAATCTTCCGTCAATGTTTATGATTTATAATTTTTCTGCTACATGAGTTTATTTCTATGATCTTGGAATGTGCGAGAACTGAGAAGCGCATGAAGCCTTCACAAGTATTTTACTCCTTGGAATTGCTATCTGCTCTGACTCTTAACTGCTGAAATAAAAATGGAGAATGAAAATATATTTCAAATTATTTTTGGCTTAACATACCCATAACAAAGTGATGCATTCCATTCAACCCTAAATTTTTATAAAATTAGCATCTCAATACTTGTTTTCGTCATTAAGCAAATTCCAATATAGTTGAGTCATGCCATTAGTTATAATTTAAATTAAACTGATGCCTAAATTTCCATGCACATTCAACTGCAAATCGTTTCAAAACTACTTCTTTTTGTGAATTTTAGGGGGACCAATTGTGCGGAAGGGGGTACATATCAGTTAGCGGATATGTACCATAGGGGTCCGAATCCACTAGCTGATATGGACCAGGGGCTCCATATCCGCGGGGAGTCCAAATCTGCTGTGACACCGGCTCCACTGTATATATACAGTATACACGCATATACATTCGTTTCGCGTTCATATTTGATGCTGAAAAATACAAGTTTCGAATAAATAGACGCTGATTTAACCAGTGAATTTTGTTTATCTTGAGGTTGTGTAAAGGTGAGTAACAAAATAATATAACCGCTATCACCCTATCATAGTTATATTTTTAGGAAACTGGTAAATATATGCG